TTCTGCAATAACCTAATGTTGACATGTAAAACCACTGCTGATTGTAATTCAATCCTTCCTGCATGTGCTTCACAAAACAGGTAAATAGTATGAAGGCGGGGGCAGGATTTTTTTAAATGTGAAACTAGAAGTTTTGATGGTGCCATTTGGGTTAGCTTATCACAAGCAAAAACAGACTTCTCCCCAAAACTAGATTTTCACATGCTCTTTTCAGTGATGTAGAAACATTGTGGGGGTGAAATTAATGTTTTCACGTCTCACAAAGCTTGACAAAAGCAGCTCAGAAAGCAGCTCGGAAAATGAGGACTAATGTTGCATGTCCTGTACTAACTCTTAGTAGCAAGGGTAAAATTTGCAACATGTTAACTTACACATAGAAGATTGATCCTGATGAGTTTTGCGGTATTAGTTTTACACATTTTAAATATGGGGAAGAGAGAGAGCATTGACATTTGATCACTACATGGTAGGGATCACTAAATTGCTTTGCAGTTGTAGATTTACTACATAACAAATGTAATGAAAATTACGAGTTAACCCTAGAGTTTGGGTTATCGATGGCAATCTGTTTTCCTCTTTTGTAGTGTCTCTGAAAATGCTATGGAAGGGGACACTAGAAAAAAAAATAGAAACAGCATGGTCTCAAAAAAGAGGTCGCAGCAGTGATGAGACTTTTTACTAAAACCTTATTGTCAAGGACAAACTAGCCACTATGGCTGAATGCAAGACCTGCAATGAAACAGTGTAAGACTGCTGAACATCCTGTTCTGGCTAGTCAAGAACCCCGTGGTAAATCTGGGCATTACATAAAAATAAAAAGCCATATGATAGATATTGTTACAGACTTTTGTTGTTGAAGCTGCTGGTTCCTGTTGAGCTTTGGAACGTGCAATAAGTGTTATTAGCACAGATCACGGTTGAGCCGAAATAAAGAAGCTTATTTTTATTCTTTTACCTGTAGGAGATTTATTATAACCTTCTGTTTTATTTTCATCAACAGAAAACTACTGTCCTGTTATGTCAACAAAGTAGCTAACTAGCATTTGAATACTTCATCCCCAAGGGAAGGGTTCTGGATTTCATGACCTCTGTAATAGTCTAACCCTAATTAGCAAAAGGCAGCTGGATCAAACTTTAGCTCTTGAAGTTTCCAGTTGATGAAGTTGTAAACTATATATTTTTTTATAATTCTAGCTTTTTTTACTAAAGGGAAAGAGAAGGCCTATTAGCATGACTAGTGACTTAGTTATGAGTAAGGCTTTAGTTTAGAATGAGGGACATAGTCTATATGTTACTGAAAGACTACATTTAGAGTTATTTGGACGCTGTTAACACTTGTAGTTTTTTTTTTTGCTACATAAGAATTGTCCTTATTTTGTAAGTGTAACTAAAAATTAAATATTTAGTTTAGATTACAATATTCTCTTAATAGAAATACCCCATTCTTTTATTCATCCATGCTGGAGTGTCGCTCCATGCTAGCTAGGAAGGAACTAAGAGGGAACTCCGTGTCATTACATGCCAGCCAACAATGGACGTTTCTGTAATGCAGTCAATAAATAAAATGCAATCCTATAAAATTTAGATTGAAGAAACAAGTACATTGCAAAATTGATAGAAATCTTGTCTATAACTGGTCAATTTCATTTCACAATATTTGGGGACAGAATTATACCAAAGGTTTAGTAAAAGTTGATAAACCTGTTTTAGTGATTACTTAAAAAATAGGATCATGCTGCTGAGCATTTTAGTCCTAATTTATAATTATGAAGAGCAAATACAAAATAAGATAAAGATGAAGGCCCTTTAAAAAGGCCTACTTCACCAAATGACCAAGCACCACAGACAAACCTGAAGAGAAAGTTTAAATGACTGCACTAGTGTAATAAGACATTTTATATAATTGAACCCTGGATAAAGTACCTTTTGCTGCTAATACTGCAATCCTTGATATTTGTGCATGCATCCAAGTTATTTCTGAATAACAGGTAAAACTGTAAATTCTCAATAAAGTGGCCCTGAATATTTTTGGATCACAGAGAAATGTTTAAATATTACTAACACTGATGTTAAAATTTCCATTTTTGAAAGAAACAAGAAGTCTTTAAGAGATACAAACACTCATTAGCTGAAAAAAATTAACCGCATGGAGGTCCCCTCTTTGGTAGGTAGATACTGCTCAAGGATCCAAGTGCCCTCTTGGCAATTTCTTGAAGACAATGTTCTGGTTTTATTTTCACAGACTCCCATCATTGGCCTATGGTAACCCCTCCTAGTCTCTTATCATTGGCTCACGGCTAACTCTGCCCACCCTCTTATTTTGTATGTGACAGCATGTGGGAAATAACTGGTGAGGGGCTGGGGGCCGTTACTTCTGGTACAACCAGATTATTAGATAGTCTGCAGTTCCAAACTCTTGTCTCCGGCTGATAAAAATAGGTTCCTGTTTCGAAAACGAACTCTGTCTGATAAACCCAGACCGTTTTTAACAACCGGAGTCTGGGGTTATAGATAACTCTATTCCATAACTGGTCTACAAGATTACCTGAAGATGCTAATGACAGTTAAAACACACAACTTGATGTGGCTCATTGAGAAAACAGAGGGAGGGGAGGGATGGAAGGAGGTCCGGGGGTGGAGCACATTCCTCAATTCACCCCACAGCCTATGCTACACCAGAAAGAGAGAGGACAGAGAAGAGGAGACACAGACTCTAGAAGGATTAAAGTTTTAAGACTCACAAGTTTAAGACTAGGCTACAGCTTTTGAGTGATAATGATGGCAAGTTTGTAAGACAAAGCACTAGCAAAGATTTTACAAAGTTTAATTTTGGAACTCTCTTATATTAACTCTTATTTTGCTGCATGCTGTTGAAGGTAATTTAAATGGAAACTCTAGGCTACAGCTTTGGAGTGATAATGATGGCAAGTTTGTAAGACAAAGCAATAGCAAAGTAATTTGGAACACTCTCTTATTTTGCTGCATGCTGTTGAAGGTAATTTGTAATGCTGTTTAATTTTTACTCACCGTTATACCATTTTACTGCTTTACTGTCATTATTTCAATTTATTCTTCACTTGTTTACTGATGGTAAGTTTGTCACACAAAGCTTTAGCAAAGATTTTGAAGGTAATTAAAAAATGCTGTTTAATTTTAACTCACTGTTATACTATTTTACTGTAATTATTTCATCTTATTCTTTAGTTCTTTAATGATGGTAAGTTTGTCACACAAAGCTTTAGCAAAGATTTTGAAGGTAATTAAAAAATGCTGTTTAATTTTAACTCACTGTTATACTATTTTACTGTAATTATTTCATCTTATTCTTTAGTTCTTTAATGATGGTAAGTTTGTCACACAAAGCTTTAGCAAAGATTTTACAAAGTTTAATTTTGGAACTCACTCTTATTTTGCTGCATGCTGTTGAAGGTAATTTATAATGCTGCTTAATTTTTACTCACAGTTATACCATTTTACTGCTTTGCTGTCATTATTTCAATTTATTCTTCACTTGTTTAATAATAAAGACTGACTTGATTCCAAAGAAACCTCCTACTGATCCTTTGCTGGCCCCGGAGATTCCTCCTTTTACTTATAACTCACTGCTATACTTTTTTAATGATAAATTTATTGTCACAAACACCTCCTAGTTAATTCATTCAAGTTGTATTACTTAATAAAGTCTTTAAATCAATGAAAAACACACACAATGGAAGGATGTACGCAACCCTCTTATCAGTTACATACAGACATATTTCCGGCTGGGGTGGGACAGGATGAACCCCCTCTTATCAGTTACATACAGCCATATTTCCGGCTGGGGTGGGACAGGATGAACCCCCTCTTATCAGTTACATACAGCCATATTTCCGGCTGGGGTGGGACAGGATGAACCCCCTCTTATCAGTTACATACAGCCATATTTCCGGTTGGGGCGGGACCGGATGCCCCCCCTCTTATCAGTTACATACAGACATCCGGTGGGGTGGGGGGACCGGAAATAGCTGTCAAAAATGAGTTTGATGGAATGTATTGGATACTTCTCTCTCTGTTGGTGATGTGGTGTAATGTTAAGGGACCAGAGGATAATGATAAAGAAGCTGGTAACATAAGCAGCATGTTTGCACCTTTGCAACTTGAGGCTCCCTCTGGTGTTTATAAGATGCCAGTGACCCCCACCACCCAACCACACACACACACACATACTCAGTGTGGTCCACCACACTTAATGTGGTCTTCTTAATATGAAAAGTTACTGCACAAAGGTTTTGAACCACCTCTCAATTTGCATCATCCAAATTGAAACGAGCAGCCTCCAAAATATTGTGTATGACTGACAGACTGTTGGAGACAGTTCTACAGTCACCCCACAAACTCCTCACCATCGGATCCCACACTATAATCCCGGGAGCTCTTTTACAAGATGGACAAGCAGCCAGGGTCAAAACCCAACACTGAAACTTAACATTAAACCCTAAACCTAGTCACAAACAAAATATTTTGACATTCTTCAAATTGACAACGATTCCACTCACTGGTTCTTAGAGTAGTATCTGAGTATAGTTTAATGTGAACATGCGTTGAAAGACTGCAATAGCATATCAAAACAATATCAAGGTACATTTGGTATAAATGACACTAAAGCAAGTTTGATACAGCTCAATACAAGTTCTTAAAAAGCAAAACACATTCTTGAGATTTTTTTACCTTGAGGTCACAGCTGCACAGATAGTGAGCTTGACATACACGTCCTTATTTTACAAACCAAAAACATTGTTAGTGAAAGTTATGAAACATTTTAACTTCTGTTCTAAAACAACCAAATGTACAATGTACAAATGATCCGAAGGACTTCCACAAAACAGGGTTTTAAAGTCAGTCCATAGAAAATTAGTGTTTGAACATAACTAAAACCTTTCTATAGAATTTAACCTTTAAAAATATAATATACTAACTGGATCATAATTACAATCTTCAAATATATGAATATATGTACTTACATGGTTAAACAGGGATGCTACTGTCATGGAACATGTATCTCCATGCTCTTTGTGGCCAGCTTGTAGACAGGAATGTTACAATCACCTTGGTTTGTTATCCCGAGCCCAGTTGTTTCTGCGAGACAAATGAAGAAACTGACAGATGGAGATCAAAGACACAATAAGCCTCTCGAGCATGTGGCATTTGGCTTGAGCATCAACACAAGCCTGGTGCTATATTTGAGTTTTGTCCTAATAAGACAACAGATTACACAGCAGGTATAGTGTAACTCATGCTCACTGAAGACAGAGGCTCATTATATCTTCTTGGTAACCACTTTAGAATTTCTTATTCATTGCCACAAGTAGAAACTCTTTCCAACAGAAACAGTGACTAACCACACTTCTACATTTTGCCGGCTGTGAGCCACGTTCTTGGAAAAAAACTTTTGGCTACAAGTCCACCTGCCATCTATGACAACATCTTCTATCCCATCACATACTGTAGACATCTAAAAAACAAAAACAGCTTAGAAGGTCATGCCCTAAACATATTGAACTTTAACATACACAAAACCCCATCATGGTGAGGTGATTTGTGAAACATAAAGGAAGTCGAGTAGCAATCAATCACTCAGTTGCTCTACATTTGGGGACTGTTTCCATCTCCCTTGTGAATCCCTCAAGAAGAAGAATAAGAACAGCTGTTGGCACTGTTGTGAAAAATAATCCCTTGGCAGGCCATCCTTTTCTTTAAAGCTCATTGGCACACATAATAATCATTTCTGACTTGTAAGGACTCTGAAACAGTATATCAGTGACTTTTTAAAGGTTCCCAAAAGCATAGCAAGGGGCTCCTTTTGTGCCAGGAAGCATTAAAAAGATGCATTAGTCACACCTTTGGACTCCCTCTAACTACTGACTGCTGATCCAACGTCATGTCTTCTTCACCTTATTTGTATACACACGTCCAAAACCAACTTCACATCTGCATGCTACCATTAGCATGTATTACACTTAGTAAGTACACTAAGTAAAACAACATTTTTAAAAAGTGTCGATATGTTGCTTCTTTTTCATAATTTATGGCAAAACTTATTACAAAAAGCCATGGTAAAAGGAAACACAACTGCCTATTTGTTGGCCAATAGTCACAGGAATATGAATATTTCTGTGTCTGACAATGATTTGACATAGAAGTCATGCCATAAATTGTGTAATGTGACAGCTAAGAACTACTCCTTCACAAGCATTCAATTGTGCAAGGCGACATGACCAAATACAGCAATACACATGCGATAGGCTCCCATCACTCTGTATAAAAAGACACAGCAAACCTCCCCCACGGACAGGCACCCTGCAAAGGTAAGTTTCTTAGTGGCTCAGATGGATTTAAAGTAATTAAACTTCTCCAATACAGGATAGTATACTGTCATGTATGTATGTCATGTATTGTCTCAAGTCAATATTGTGTTTAAAATACAGAAGCTAAACTTTTAGATGTCTACAAACTGTTTAAAAGTCTTATCAATGTAATTACATCATTTTCCTCACCTGATTTAAAAGTTAAATTTGATAGAGTAAACTCTCAGAAGTTCTGTAGCATTATCCTAACCTTGCACCTTTGCTCCTTTTTTCAGAAGTCTGCATTGAAATCTGTCAGAAACAAACCCTGCTTACCTGGTGTCCTCTGAGGTAAATTAGGCTTCACATTTGTCTTGAAAATTAACTCAAGATGAGATATGGTTTAAACCAGCACGTATGTACTATACATGTGATTATGAACATCACAATCTTGTTGGTACTTTGCTCAGTTATGGTATGCCAGTAAGCTACCTGTATTTAACCACTCTTTATAATAGAGCAATTATTTGATTACAGTAAAACTAGACAGGTGATAGGTGTAGATAGGTGCCCAAGTCACTACTTTCACCTACTTTCTTGGCATTTAAAAGACTATTGTCTTGTTTCCTCTTGTGCAGTAAACAGTCACCATGAGTGGAGATGCGGAAATGGAGTGTTTTGGCCCGGCGGCCCTGTACCTCCGGAAGCCAGAGAAAGAGAGACTTGAAGCTCAAAACACTCCCTTTGATGCTAAGACAGCGTTCTTTGTGGCTGAACCCAAAGAGATGTACCTCAAGGGGAAACTTGTTAAGAAAGAGGGTGGCAAAGCCACCGTGGAGACTCTCTGTGGGAAGGTGAGAATGAAGGCACTAGAAATAAAAGTTTTACAGTGCTTAACCTTTTCCATATAGACTCTGGACTGATGTGACATATGTTAACTCTTTGACAAGGGGATTGAAAATCTAAAATTTATGTTACAAAATCTTGAAAAACCACTTGGTCCAAAACTGGTTCACAAAGACACACATGAATTGTTTGTGATTAGCAACTAAGATTTTGAAATCAGACAATACATGACTTCTTAACAGTTACTAAACTTATTGCTGTGCCTCTTCTCTTTGATAGACCCTCACTGTAAAAGAAGATGAAATCTTCCCCATGAACCCTCCAAAGTTCGATAAGATTGAGGACATGGCCATGATGACCCACCTCAGCGAGCCTTCTGTGCTGTATAACCTCAAAGAGCGCTATGCAGCATGGATGATCTACGTGAGTTTTGTGGAGAAGAGAGATAGCTTTGATAACATATACATGTTTTTATTGAAATGTTTTGTCTTTCTTTCATATTTCCCACTGTTACAGACCTACTCAGGGCTGTTCTGTGTCACTGTGAACCCCTACAAGTGGCTCCCAGTGTATGACTCCATTGTTGTCACAGGATACAGAGGCAAAAAGAGGATTGAGGCTCCACCCCACATCTTCTCTATCTCAGACAACGCCTACCAGTTCATGCTCCAAGGTATCAATCAGTTTGTAAGCTACTGTGTGTCAAATACAGGACCTTCACCTGAGAAATCGACTCCTAACTTTGTTGTCTTGCAGATAGAGAAAACCAGTCAATCCTGATTACGTAAGTGACAATTCTTTATATTATAAGTATTGGCAAGTAATAGTAATATATTTGTAATAATGTTTATGAACACACTCTTCAACCCAGTGGAGAATCTGGTGCAGGAAAGACTGTCAACACCAAACGTGTCATCCAGTACTTTGCGACAATCGCAGTGTCTGGAGTAAAGAAATCAGAACAGGTTGCTGGAAAGATGCAAGTAAGAGAAGCTGAACAACATTAATATGAAATCTAAAAGAAAAAGAAGTGAGTACTGTCACACTGACAAAATTAATGTTATTTCAAGGGCTCACTGGAAGATCAAATCATTGCAGCAAACCCTCTGTTGGAAGCTTATGGTAATGCCAAGACTGTAAGGAATGACAATTCTTCACGTTTTGTAAGTGATTTTTGGGATTTCTCTTTGACTTGAAATTGTTTTCTATTTAGTGATGACAATAATTCACCATGACATTAATTGAAATGTTCTTCTGTTTTTGCATAGGGAAAATTTATCAGAATCCACTTTGGGTCAACTGGAAAGCTGGCTTCAGCTGATATTGAAACATGTAAGATTTTTTTGTGGAACTCATCAAGCATTGTCTGTTTAATTACACTGTCAACTCTTTCAACTGTGCTTCACAAGAGATATTTTTACCAACATAAATATATACAGATCTGCTGGAGAAGTCTCGAGTGACGTTTCAGCTGTCTGCAGAGAGGAGCTACCACATCTTCTATCAGCTCATGACAGGCCACAAACCGGAGCTGATAGGTGTGCGATTAGTGAAATATAGTGTCAGTTATTCTACAGCAAGTGAGCAATAATGGCTTATCACATGTATATATATTCTGTTATATTTATTTATGTTTTTTTCCACTTTCTTCAGAGGCTCTCCTGATTACCAAAAATCCATACGACTATCCAATGATCAGTCAGGGTGAAATCACTGTCAAGAGTATCGATGACACTGAAGAATTTGTTGCTACTGATGTAAGCACAAGTTCTCTTTGATAATTGCATTTACAGCTATTAAAAACCAATGCTCACTTTTATTATTTCCATTTTTATTACATACACTAAGTTACCCATGTATTATAGTATTGCAATAAATCCTACACCTTTATGAAGCTTATTTTAGTTCAATTCAACTCTATGGTAATTTTTGAAGGAGTAATCTATTGTAGTATTGTACTGGATTGTATTATAGATGAAGGCGTGTTTCTAATGTCCTCATCCATTCAAATTAAGGGAGTAAAAATACCTACCTCAATATTTATCTTAGAACAAGTAAGAGTGTCTTTCCAGTGAAACTCCAGCTGTGTTTTACAGGGGATTAGATGTGTTTCTATGTTAGTCTACATAAAGCTTTGCAGGTCATCAGTACTCACATACTAAAATTAATTATTAAATGTAGTAGCAACTAGTGTAAAGAGACAAAAGAACAAATACTATTGATTATATTGTGCTACTTTTTGCCTTAAAGCAAAGTAATATTTATTACATGTGTGTGATAAACGCCAAACATTTAGGGGACACAGGGCAATGGAATAATGTATGTTTGTATTTTAAAGTGACTTTTGTTCACAGACTGCCATCGACATCCTGGGCTTCACTGCAGAAGAGAAGGCATGCATTTACAAGCTGACTGGAGCTGTGATGCATCATGGAAACATGAAGTTCAAGCAGAAGCAGCGTGAAGAGCAGGCTGAGCCGGATGGCACTGAGGGTATGAAAGCCACACACCATTAGTCTTAACATAGTTATTTTTTTGCCATTTGAAAGAGAACTTCTGATTTAGAAGTAAATGTATAAGTTAACCTAGAATTGGTTTGAAGATGACTATCTGTGTACTTCTTTTAGTGGCAGACAAAGTCGCTTACCTCATGGGTCTGAACTCTGCTGATTTGCTAAAAGCACTGTGCTACCCCAGAGTGAAGGTTGGGAATGAATTCGTGACCAAAGGTCAAACTGTCCCTCAGGTATTGGGTGTCAACAAGAACTTACACAAATAAACAAATTAATGCAAACAACAGAATGTCTTCCATTTTTACATTTAAAGACAAGTTTACATATAGATCATACTTTTGACTTCTGACTTAAGGCTCACAATGCAACCATGGTTCTAATAAAGGTTTCATCATAGATTTTAACCTGTTTAACCCCTTAAGTGTTTAATCTCTGTTGTTAATTTTTACAACATCCTTATCAATATTGTTTTACTAATTTTTAAAATCAGGTCAACAATTCCGTCATGGCTCTCTGCAAGTCTGTCTATGAGAAAATGTTCCTGTGGATGGTCGTCAGAATCAATGAGATGCTGGACACAAAGCAGCCCAGAAGCTTTTTCATTGGTGTCCTGGATATTGCTGGGTTTGAAATTTTTGATGTACGTATCAAAATCATTCTTGGCTGATACCAAA